TCTGCTCCCCACTCTGTCTCTGGTGAAGCCTCTCACTGCCCCTGCAACTCTGGCCTGTGCCCCAGTTCTGTATGCACAAGTAACTAAATCTTAAAAAAAAAAAAAAAAAAAAAACTCTTTTTACTGCTGGAACAGCCCAGGTAGCTGCCATCTTTGAGGAATAGCTTTGCCCCATGGGACACTTCTGCCAAAACAGGTGCTCCTCTCCACAGGTGGTGCTTATGGCAAAGGACACAGATCACTGAGTCAGCAAAGGCAGAGAAGCAGCCAAACCCAGAAAGAGCTCTGTGGGCAGTGAGCATGCTCGTTCTTTAGGTTTGTTCTTCAGCCACGTGACTTGGCATGGTTAGTGGACAACAGCTCTAGAGCCTCTTGAGTTTGCTGTGTGTCTGACCCAGCCCAGAGGCTGGATGTGGTGCTTTTTTTCCCCCCCCAAAGATTTATTTATTTATGCATACAGAACTGGGGTACAGACCAGAGGTACAGGGGCGGTGAGAGGATTCACCAGAGACAGAGTGGGGAGCAGAAAACAGACAAACTGACACAGTACACTGAGTGGAGCAGTGGGCAAGACAGGAGAGGCAGTGCCATGTGGGTCACCTCTGGGGCTGGGGATCGAACTCACACTGAAGTGGCTGTGGATGGCTTGCTGTACTGTGTCCTTACTCGTTGTGCCACCCATGAGGACACATGTTGCTTCTTTTAAGCATTGGCTGTGTCAGGACCCCTGCTCTGAGAGCATGCCAATTTGGGAAAGTGGGTGAGAGGAAGGTGGGGATAAGGGTATGAAGGGAAAGTGTGGTTGGGCTTGTGGGGTGGGCAAGGGGACATTTGGGAGATGAAAAGGGGATTGTGAAGAATGGTGGGTTCTCACTATCATAACAAAGCCTCTCTTGATTAAGGAGTGCACCAGGAAGGCCTCTAGAGTGGTGCGGGGAAGCCTAGAGATTCCAGGAGGGAGTGTGCTAGGAGGAGGAGGCAGAGAAGCAGCCAAACCCAGAAAGAGCTCTGTGGGCAGTGAGCATGCTCGTTCTTTAGGTTTGTTTAGGGTGGGGCCAGTGTTGGGTTAAGAGTGGGGAACACAAGGAATCTGGGAAGAAAAAGAAGAGGAAAGAGAGCAAGGATTCCTGTGTGCTACAGGGAGGACTTGGGTTTGTCTGTTCGACAGAGCTTGTGTTATTTGTTGACCTGTAGCTAAGGTTAATCTTTCTCTAGCTGACAAATACTCATCTTTTGATGGTGAAGAGTGAGCACACCTCTAAATCATGAACTTGATGTTTTCACTGCCACGAACATCTGTAATGACGTTCTATTGCTTTAACTCAGCCAGGAGCCTGAGATGAATTATGATTTTGTTCCAAAGCTGTTTCCAGTTCCCCAGCAGCCGTGCTGGTCCTCCTGGGCCTCCTCCGCCTCTCACTGTGAAGGTCTCAAGGCTCCTCGCCCTTCTCCTATAAACAATTTAATTTCTTTCCTTCTCTGGAAAGCAGAAGGTGAATGATTACTTTTGAGAAGATTTAGGTTTTCACTGTTTATTTTACACACAGTGTTTTATTGAGCTGTTGGAAAAGTCATGACACATTTTTGCATAGAAAACAGAAAAAAAATACATCATGACTTTTCTAGCACCCCGATGTATATGATTCTTGAGCATCTTGAGGGGTTTGTAGATTCTAGGCTCCCCAGTTTAAGATGCTTTAATTTAAATAGAACCATTTTTATTACGTTTTTGTGCTAAATATGTTGCATCTCCCGAGAGCAGCCTTTTCCAGTGACTTCACTGTGAGTCAGCCGAACCCACAGCTGTTCGCATTCTTCTGAGGGCTGAGGTGGGACAGGGTGGCCTCAAGAATCAGGGAGCATGTTGCCAGAGCTCAGAGATTATTACTGAAGTTTTAAATCATGCTAAGTGTTCTCTAATAAGATTTTCAAACACAGGGGACTAGATCACAGCTCTAGTGGAAGTTGGGGGCAGGGTGCCAGTTTAGATATCCCTTTTAGGAAAGAACCTGTGACCAGAGTGTAGTCTGTGGCTAGTTTCCACTGCATTGCCTTCGGGACCCACAGTGTTCAAGCACAGGCCACTTTCTCCCTGGAGACTCCCCGCCAGTGACCCAGGATGGTGGGCTCCCAAGTCCCATCGCTTTGCTGATGCAAGGCTTCTCTCTGCAGACTTGCTGTGGGTGGGCCAAGACTTTCTCTGCACTACACTAAGTCTGAGGCTCTTCCTGCCCAGACCCTGCTCCCCTTTCTTTACAGTGTCATATTTGCAGTGGGCTCAAAGCCTTCCTTGCCTCCTCCTGTTTTTTTCTTCTGTTTACCTTTCCCAGGTGTTCCCCCAGTAAATCTCTTATACTGGTATCTGTCCTGGCATCTGCTTCCTGGAGGACCTGAGCTCACACAGCTATGCAAGGTGACATCATTGGTCACTTCATGCAATCTCACCTTTCCTTTCCAGATTTCTTTTTGGAAATAGTTCCCACATCATGCCAACCCATTTTGTTACAGAATTAGGAATTTGCTGAGTATTTGGTTCTATCTTTCTGCCCCCCCCCAAAATTATTAGGGTTGGTAGTTCCAATAGTTTAGCCTCCTGTAGGTTGCTGAGAGGGAGATGAGGCAGAAACATGAGATAGCTAATACATTCTTTATTTCTGTATGGACATTCTTTCTCAGATCCCAGACTGGAAAACAAACCTCAGGAATGACCCCTCTCAGCTTACACAATTCTTCCTGAAATCCAGCTCAATGGAGTCAAATCCAGAGTCTCCTTTTCCCAAGGGCTTGTGCAGTCCTTTCCATAGGACATACCAGCAAGTCTTAGCACTCTAGTGGGGGGCAAGGAGGACATGAACTCCTGTCCTTTAGTTCCACGTGTATAGGCCCCCTCACTTCCCCTCAATAATCATGTGACACTGAGTCCATGATATGTGTCAGTTTTTCTCTGTGAGAGAGTGGGAAGGATATTGGCAAAATACAAATACACTGATGACAACTGAATTCCACAAGTTTGAGTAATACAATAAAGATGGCCCCATGATGTCCTATATTCTATATTCTATTCTGAACATCAATCACATAAAGGAAAAGTACTGAGGAGTAGACATAGAGTGACACATTTCTATCAAAGGGGACCCATGCACATCACAGTGCTTCTCACACATGGAAGCTGACATTTCTTTAATTTAATGGAATGTTCAAGGGCAGGTCACAGGAAGGCTTGCTAGGCCCTCTCAGGCAGGATGTTTTGCCATATTTGAAATTTCCCAGGACCACCCCACACTCTGTTATTGAGGGGCAGTGAGCATGCTGTCTCTCCATATCCATTACAGTTCCTCACAGCTGATTATGACTTCCTTTGGGAATTATCTTGGAGAATTTTCATTGCAAAGACCTTCTGCAGGGTCCAGGCTTTGGTTTGATTGCCCATGGTGAATGTGGCTCTTTAGAACCATGTGGAGACTCTGCACATATATTGACAGCCTGGGCCCAATAGGGACTTGTGCATTTGTACTGGCAAGCCTGGTGGGCCCTGACAAACAGAAGAAGGTGTTGTGTTGGCTGTTGTCTCCTCAAGTCCAGCGTAGGTACTCAAATCTTTGATGAAGTTAGCCCTAACTTCTTCCATGTAGAGGATGTCCTCAAATCCTTGACACTTTTTTCTTGGGTGCTTCTCATAATCATGGTTCTTCACATCCTTCCAAAGTGAATATTTCATAATTTCTTGGTTCTTGACAGGAAGTATGATGAATGCTTTAGGCACTGCTTTCTGTTACCTCAAATTTAAGTCTTCTACTCAGATATTTGTGTTGAGCTGACTTTACTGAATTTACTTAAGCCTTCCCATGCTGCTTTGCAGAATATGACCCTTGACTTACATTGTTGCCAGTTCCTACCAATGTCCTGGTTGGGTCAGAGTCAGCAGGGTTGGGGAAGGCTGTAAACCCTGTAGGCAGCATCGGTCTTTCTCAACACTACACATGTAGAACATGAAGATCCATTCTTCAAAGCAGGAGAACATTTGCAGGTGTTACTTGAGGCTTGTGCTTCTAGCTACTCTGGACAAAGTGCCAATCTAGGAGACAGAAAGCATGCTCATCTGCTGGAAACCCCAAAGATGTAATGGGATTCAAAATATTAAGTTCATAGCTTTCAGCCGACTGGCTGTCCATTCAGTTGGTGGGTCATGATCTCATGATAGTCAGGAGACCAGCAAAGCCACAAGGGAAGGACAGGGAGAGTTGGAGAGTCTGAAGGCAGGAGGCAAGGTGGCCTCTTCCCAGTGGTGCTGTTGCAGGGTCAGTCTCTTCACTCACTGGGTGCTGGAGTACATGCCTTATGATGGTATAATGTTAAGACTCCGGGCTAGTACCTCTGCCCAAGACACCCGAAAGACGAGAGCAGGGAGCATGCATGTTTTTCTTCCCTGATGACGTTCCTAACTGTGAACTAGAGCATGAAGAGGTCAGGCTATGTCACAAAGCCCGCTGCTCTGTCAGAGACACAGACGTCTAGAAGGAAAGCACTCACAGTTTTAGGATAAACCAGAGAATGTCTAATGTTGGTATTGACACATAGTCTTAGTTGTTTTACATCTCTAGGAATTGGTATTAAGTCACGAGATCTGCTGCTCCTATTCTTTTTGAGCCCAACAATTTTTGGCAAGCAAACGAAAAATCATATAATCACCAAACTTTAAAGTTCAGAGGACACTGGTAAGATACGTTCAGCCCCATTGTTTTACAAATAGAGGCTCAGATAATTAAATATGGTTCAAATCTCCTAACTTTTGGTCCATGGAACCATTCACTGGTGTCAGCTGACAATGTTCTGCCTTCACTGGTTGCGTAGAACAGTCACTGTAGATAATAATACAAGTGAACCTGATGTTCTCAGTCCTGTGATATTTAAATGCACTGAATTAATGAGATGCCAAATGCCAAAAGGGGGAAGAAAAATATCTTCTTTTCATGGATGCTTAGTTGGGGTTAAAGCTTTTACTCAGATTTCTTGTGTTTACTTCTTTCATTCACATCACTGAGAGCTGATGTGATGTGAGCCACCAGCTTAAGAGGATAATCTGAGCACATCTGAGAATGACTTTATATAAGATAGGTACTGCAGGAAAACTGGTGAGTTGGGGCTGCTACATTGCAGAGTTCATCCTGAAATGCGTGCTTATGTACAACCATTTTAAATTCTGGAATCACAGAATGGTTTGCAGTCCAGCCTTTCCATTTTATAGGCTGAGAGAAGTTCGGTGATTTATCTTGAATCACATAGTGTGGCAAAGACATGGAAGGAGCCAGGTTTTTTTGACTCTAGGATGGAACATTTCCCCTAAACCCTCTGATCCTTGCCACAGACCTCAATGTTAGGCTGTTTCTGATGGTTTCCAGATGAAGGAATTATCCATGCATGAAGAAAGACAAAGATGGTGGTGGTTGCTCTTAATGAAAGCCCTGTAGTCTAGGAGAGCATGTTGGAGTAGAAACTCAAGCTTTCTGCCATGGTCTTGGAATCACTTCGAGAGGAGCCATTGGGGGTCAGGTCCAGGGATGAGGGTGTGGCCTTGGGGCCATCCTCCAGCTCCTCCTCGTGGGCCCCTACCACTGTAGAGATGGTGGTCTCTAAGCGGCTCACTTTATACACACTGCCTTGGGTCTGGAGGTATCGGGTGGATTTCATTTCAAGCCCCTCATAATCGCCAGCACTGATAAAGGGGCAGCACCGGAATGCATGCTTGAAGCCCAGGCGGAACCTGGGGATAGAGACAAAGAGGTGATCCTGGGGGTAGCCAGCTTTCAGAGGGCGTTTGCATAATTCCATCAACTCTTTCACACACAGACACAATCAAGCATCACTTTATGTTATTATTTTTAGGTTAATTGACAATTGGAAGTGGTAAAGCCACAAAGATTTAAATGTTAGTCATCAAAGCAAAATGCAGGACCAGAACCTAGGCACAGGTGAAATGTACTCCTTATTAGGGACAATTGCTGAACTATGCTGCCTCCACTGGTACAAGGCCAGGGGACCTTTGGTCAGCTTGACATTGACAAAACATTTACCAGGTGTTTACCATGTCATAATATTGTCTTAGTCACCGGGTATTAAAACACATGTTGAGACAAGGCCCCTTCCTCCCAGTGCCTATTGACTACAGAATGATCTTTCTAAGATCCCTTTAGTGGATCTTAGTTCCATTTGTTGAACTGCAAGAATTAGCCTTTACTTAAAGAACTGCTAGGAGATTTAACAACAACAATAACAAAAAAAATCATTTAGATTGGTGTCAGGCTGTTAGAAGAAGGATGAATCTGCGAATTAGACTAACATTGACTATTTGGACAAGTTCAACAGAATGTCTGTGTCTAGATTCCTAGTACCTGAATGTGTCATTTACAGAACACACTAGCCTGGTGGCTACAAGGCTGTACCATGCATGTTATCCCACCTCCTCCCTCAGCAGCTGGTGTGATGCTCTGGGTAATGGGTTGAGCTGCCACCAGAGTCCCAGCTCATGCATACCATGACCAGTTTTCAATTGCTAATCACCATTCTTGATGGACTCTCTTTGCTTTTGCCTGAGGTTGGCTTCTGCCTTGAAGGCAACTGTCCTTACCTCTATAGCCAAGTATGGCCAAATCAGGCCTTTGAGACTCTGACTCCTTTTGGCTGTCCTGCTGGAACTGATGAAAGAAACTGATTGTATGCTGCCCAGATTGTATGATGGGATAAGGAAGTAGAAAGTGAAAGACCAGAGAAGGAAAACAATGCCTTGTAGGGGATTACATTCCAGGGTTTCTTTTCTTTCTTTCTTTTTTTTTTTTTTTGTCTCTCTCACCATCTCCCTCAATCTCTTTCTTTCCATGAAATGTACCCTATGCTCTGAATCCATAAGGCAGACTGAGTAAATTCAGAAGCTATGAATTAGATTCAGCCTCCCAGGATTTGTCTAATTGACTTAACTGTCAGTGTTTAAAAATTAGAAGATGTTATTAAAAAAATGTGGATTTCTGCTTTCTCTTTAAACAAAAAAAATTGTCTACTCTGGGCTTATATTCCTGTTTGGTGATAATCAACAGGGAATGAATAATGCAGTGATTTGTTTGCTGTAGTCCTCCACCACTCCCTCTTGTCTAATAGCCAGCTTTGTTCACTTAGGTTAGCTGATAGGTTAGTTGGTAGTTATAACTGATATAGACAGGTGGTCTTGTGGTCTCTGAGAGAGTATGGGTTCCTCACCTGTCATTGAGGCAGCAATAGATGATGGGGTTGTACATGGTGGAGCTCATGGCCAGCCACATGATGGCCAGGTAGACCTGCTGAATAAACTTCTCCAGGTAGAGATCAGGGTTGATGTAGGGCAGGAGGAAGAAGATATGAAAAGGAAGCCAGCAGATGGCAAAAGTACAAACCACGACGATCATCATCTTGACCACCTGGCAAGAGATAGCGATAGGTGAGACCACTATTACATCCTCCTTTTCTCATAGCCACTTTCTTCTTCCATACTTCACTGTGCACTGTGTAGTAGGGAGTGGAAAATGTTTGTAACAACCTGCCCAGAGGGGGAGGAAGGACTATCTCTATGTGATATCAAAGGACTTTGTTATGTCAGTGGTTCTCAGAGTGGGGTCCAGAACCAACATCATCACCATCACTTAGGGACTTATCAGAAATGCAAATTATTGCTTTAGGCTTACCAAATCAATAACTCGGAAGGTGGGACCTAGAATAAGACCTTGCAATGATTCTGATGCACACTCATTTTCAAGAATCATCAAGGCCAGATTGATGAATGAAGGAGAGAAAGGTGGCAGAGGGGGAGAGAAGGGATGGGAATTGGACAACTGCAGCAAGGGAGGGTCAGATTTTTTTTTAAGATTTATTTATTTGTGCATACAGAACTGGGGTACAGGCCAGAGGCTCAGGGGCAGTGAGAGGCTTCACCAGAGACAGGGTGGGGAACAGAATAGGTAGATCGATGAAGTACACTGCTGAGGGGAGCAGCGGGAGGGTCAGGAGAGGTCTGCCTCGCCATGTGGTCACCTCCAGGGCAGGCGGGAGTCGAACTCATGCGGAAAGGGCTTTAGCTTCTCAGTGCTGTGCTTTAACCCGCTGCACCACCAGGGAGGGCCGGGAGGGTCAGATGTTTAAAGGGGGCTTTAAAGAGTCATGAGCATGGGCAATGTACTTCTTCCATTTTATTCCCAACAAACCTTCAGTGAAGAGCTACCTAGCCTCATTAAACACTATGCAAAGAAGAACCAAAGGAATTTTTTTTTAAAAAAAAGAATAAATCTATATATTGATTTTCAAATAATTGCATATACTTTGTTGAGTGAAAAAAAAGTAAGGGGAGGAATAGTGTGTATTCACTATTCTTGTAAAAAAGAGTCTATAATTATTTGGATTGTAAATACAATATCTGGAAGGATTAATGAGAAACAAGTAACTGTGGTTTTGTGTGTATGTGTGTGTGTGTGTGTGTGTGTGTGTGTGGGAGGGGCAGGTGCCAGCAGGATGGCTCGTGCCTGTCCTTAGTGCTAGGTCACAAATACATTGAAGAAAGATCTCTTCTTGCCCTTCCCCTCCTCTTTTTGACTTGGATGTTCCTCACATTCCCTGACATTCTGGAGCTCACAGACCTTCCGGCCACACTCGTGAACCATGGTGGGTTCAGTGCTTGCTCACCTTGCGCTTGGCAGAGACTTGCTCGTGGTAACGGTCAGAGGAGTCCCCAGGGATCTCGCTGGCCCACAGCGTGATTCCCACAACAGTGTATGCATAGCCGATCACCAGCAGGGGAAGGAAGTAGATCAGCACTGTCACACAGATGTGGTACCTGCAGCCAGGTGCATACGAGGGGTTAGTCCAGGAAATAACAGGCTGGTCAGGGCTTCGCAGCAACCTTTCCCACATTTGCCATAAGTAAATGTGGGTGACAAGGTAACCATAAGGAGGCTTGCCACCTAAATAGGGTGGGTAGGTGATATTAATGGATAAACCAGGGGCAGCAAATCTCAACTTAGGTTTCCTTGTGGATTTCCCCCATAATGTAGAGTACTGCTCAAATTGAAAAGAGAAGAATAAATATTGGTGATAGTATATATTATATACTTATGGCAATTTTAGTTGATAATTCAATATCAATTATGTTCTCACTCCCCCCCACCCAAATGCAACCTTAAGCTGCATTAATGCACCTGCTGTAGAATTCTCTAAAATGAAAGAAGTGACGGTGCTACTCAGTTAATAGCTATCAGATTATATTTAGGCTCAATTTTGGTGCAGGATGTAGGTCAGTTAGAATGAGGTTATTGAGCCTTAACCCTGGCTATATGACAAATGGAGTCTCAGAAATAAGAATAATTAGCTTGGAGGAGAAAGATAAGACTGACCCTACTACTGCACTCAGTGGGTGAAAACCTCAAAGTGTGACACTTCTCAGCCAGTGGCTCTAGATGAAAGCTATCCAGGCCTCTAAGTCACCTCTTCAGGGACAGAGACCCACTGATGAGCTTGATGGGAACATGAGCAAGGGAGAAACCTTTGCAGTGTTAAGACATTGAGGTTCTGAGCTTTGCTACAACAGCCTAACTTACCCTGCTCTGTTTAAGGCCAGACTCAGTTCTAAGTGGGACGTTCTTATTTGAATGTTGAAGAAGGGATATTTTTCTCTGAGGGTCCTTGGAAAGTCTGACTCGGTATAGCTGCTTTCCCCAGTTTTGAGCCTAATAGGAAGGTTCAGTATTTCTAATAGAAATAATAACAATGAGATAAATATTTGGGGGGCTCACTCTTGGTCATGGTGCTAATAACAATGTTAATGCATATTATCAACAGAAAAGTTAGATATGATTGTGTGAAGAGCATAATGCCAAGTACTTAATTGGTCTTATCTTATTTAATGTGCAAAACAAATATAGATAGGTACTATTATAATTTTATAGATGAGGGAAAGGAAGTTTAGAATTTCATTAGCTTGCCTAAATACACAGCTGGTTAAAAGAGGAGCTGGGATTAGAATGTAGGACGAGCAGCTGGAAGCTGCTGCTTGGTGCTGACGAGAAGTCACTCAGTGCTATTTTCTTCCACTGTTTATGCTTATTCTCTGCAAAGGGATTTTAAAGAATATCCCACTTATGTACCCAATTTTTCTTTTATTGCTATTCTAGTTTCAGTAACTTACTTGCAGAACCCCATACTTTTACCATTTATTCATTCCCCTCAAACTATTGAATTTTTCAGCTTGAGGATGTCTGAAGAATTCTTAAGCCACAAACCACAAGGCAGCCGAGCAGGACACTGAGTCTATATGTCTGTATATTTTGTGCACACAGGCTGCTCCTGTCTCAGCAGGCAGTCAAGGTCCCTTCCAGTGTCACCTCCTCTGGGCAGCCTCTGGGTTCTCCAGCCAACATGGCAGTGAGTCTACACGGTGCTTTTGTCTCTCTCTCTCTTTTTTTTTTAACTTGTTCTCAGAGTCTCTGCTGTGCATACCCTGCTTGCAGTTTAAAGCATCTGGAGGCTACGGGGGCAGGAAGAAGCTGCATCCACTTCTGCCTGTAGGAGCAGCCCTGATGTAAGCAACCACATACTCGATTGGCCATCAAAACACATTAGCTGAACTTGATGACACTGTTGTCCCAGAACACTGAGTTCCCAAATCAGAGTCAGGGATGTGATGGGAGGCATTACAGTCAAGTCATCAGTGATACTCATCCTGGACTGGGGGTTCTCAAACTTCAGCCAGAATCACCAGTAGTAATTTTACAAATAGGAAACGCTGGGTCACAACCAGTTCTGACTTAGGGATAGGATGGTTCCAACAATCTGATAATAGGTTTCCAGAAGCTGCTGCTGGTTTTGGTCATGGAAATGACTTGAGAAACACTATCTTAGACTAATGGTCCTCAAGCTTAGAATTACCAGGAGGAACTTATAAATGATCAGGGCCCAGAGATACTTATTTAATTAGCCTGAGTATAGAGCAGGAAACTTCAGATTAGAAAATTCCCCAGTTATTCTGACATACAGCCAGTGCTGAGAACCACTGTTTTAGATCCAAGGTCTGTGACTCTCTTGGGACCTCACTGTCAGTTGAGAATTCATGACTTCATGAAAAGCATGTATTACCCTTGCTTTCTAGTTTTTGTATTTGAGGCTTTCAGATCTGATTAATCAGAAAGGATTGTATCCTAATTCCTAGAGATAATGTCTGCTAAACGTGCCTTGCAATGGGCAAACTAACTAATCCAAAAACCATATCCCCAATCCCTCTCCTTTATGCACTCGTGCGTGGTGGAATGCTGTCCTCTGCCCTGAACACCGCAGGGTCACCTCAGATAGGGCAGCCCTCACACCCCCAGAACCCACTGAAATTATTCCAAAAAGTCAGTCTTAAATTTATTTACTCTGTCTTCCCATCCCTTTCCCTGAAAACACAAGAAAGCCTTTCTGGGGGCTCCCACTCTCTGTGGTGACCCTAGATGTGTGTCATACCCCTTTTTCTGGGTAATGAATATCTTTTCAATGGCAGTCATACCTGATACATTGCCTTTATCATACTTGAACCTTACAACCTTAAACTTACAATGTACAACTGGAAAACTTTTCTCTTCAGAAAATCACAGATCATTTGGAAAATTTTAACCTAAATCAGTAAAAATAATTTATCAGATATTTTTTAAAAAAGGAAAAGTAATTTATTAGAAAACAACAGAAAATATGGACTTAATTTCAGGTGAAAACTGTTACATAGTTACATAGAGCTCTAGCTGCTCTATGCTCTAACAGGTAATTAAGAATAACAGGAATGTGCTTATAGAAGTCCCACTTATAGATAGATAGCCAGAAGAATTGAAAGTAGAAACTCATACATGTGCACATGGATGTTCACAGCAGCTCTTTTCACCATAGCCCAAAGACGAAAACAACCTAATGCCTCTCTAAAGATGGGTAGGTAAACAACGGGGTATACATATCTATTATTCAGCCTGAAAAGAGGATGAAGCTCTCATACAGAATGTGGATGGACTTTGCAAACATCATGCTAACTGAATAAGCCACCTGGTTTCTCTTACATGAAATACCTAACATTGGCAAAGTTATGGAGACAGAAAATAGAATAGAGATTACCAGGGACTGGTAGGAGGTAATGGGAATATCACTTAATTGGCACAGAATCTGGGATAGTGAAAAAATTCTGAAAATGGATAGTGGTGATGGTTTGTACAGCATTACAGATATGAAATGGTAAATTTTATATTGTGTATAATTTATCATAATCAAATAAATTTAAGAAACAATCCAAGAACATTTTAGTTGGGTCCTAGGTCTCCATTGTGGTAGTCTGTGCCCTCCTGAATCTCATCAGAAACCTTCCCTTCCAACGCAGTCAACTTCTGTGGGTTTGACCCTTGGATGATAACAAGGTACAGTGTATTCTCTTAAATTGTTAAGATAAACCTAAACCCCTCTTACATAGACATTGCAAATGCTGAGTCCAAACAATATCCAAGATATATAAAAAAAATTCTAGTAAATTTTTTTAAATCAATAAAATTACCAAAAAAAAAAGAATTTACAAAATATGAACACAAATATATTTTGTTTACTTTGATAACTTTTTGGAAAAACTTTATCATATGCTTATAGTTAATTGGATTACTTTTTTGTATTGTTTGCTAAAATCATCCTTTTAGAGAACCTGTCAGTTAACCTAGTAGAATACCTTCTTGCATGGTTCCATGGTCTTTTTGGCTCTCAAATCTGATATTTTCCAGGCTCCTGCCAAGCAGGATTTTGCCAGCTCTCAGAATTCATATCTACCTTTGGAGAGAGATCAGGGATTAGGGATACACGAGAAGCAAGTTAGGGAAAGAATAAGGAGCGACTGCAGGTGAAGGCAACAGAAGGTACCACTCTGTTCCACCTGGCTCCCCTTAAATCCTGCCAGTGGGTTTATCAGTACTTTGGGAAGGAAGGTGCAGGCAGCCACTTCATGTCTTTGTTCCCTCCAGTTTACTCTTCTGAGAAGTCAAGGAGGCTTGCCACATTTTACAAGATAAATAAACCTGCTGAATACAGAAAGTGTAGCCTCAAATCCTGCAAATTTTCTTGTCCTCAATCCTCAATACCTTAATTCTTACTAATCCAGGTTTACTTATGTCTCATTAGCTAGAGTTACTCCATTGCTCAAGCATTGATATTTCCAGTTTCTGAAATAATCTTCAGCATTTGAAATCAAGATAGATTAGCACCTAGTGTCTTGTAATGAGCTTCAGAAACTCAAGGCTCTAGGGAAAGGAAAGGAGGAACACACGAGGGCATGGCTCTGGCTCTCCATCTTCTTTCTAATGTGATAGGTCATTTTTGCCAGGATTTATGCACAGGTTTATGTAATGGTGTTCTGTGGATGGTTTCGTTTGGGGGTGGTGGCGCTTTACTGATGTAATACCAACTCCATCCCACTGATGCATCAGTCCTCTTACACTCATACTATGGAATCATCTAGCATCTTCTTGAATGCCCCCTGTGAAATGCTGTTCTTTAGCTAGAAAGCTGAGTTCCATCAGTGACACCCTGCAACTTTTTAGAAATGTAGACTAGGGGCCTCCCTGGTGATTCAGAGGTTAAGACTCAGCGCTGTCACTGCTACAGCCCGAGTTTGATCCCTGGCCAAGGAGCTAATCCACATGGTGCAGCAGACCTCTTCTGTAAATCTGCCTGTTCTGCTCCCTACTCTGTCTCTGTGAATCCTCTTGCCTCTGACCTACACCCCAGTTCTTCTATGCAACAAACAAACAAATAAATAAATAAAGATTTTAAAAAGGTAAAGAA